TCCGCGTGAGATCAGCTCTTAGTAATATGCCAAGCTACCACCAAGCAGCTATCCGCACAGTCGGCCTCTGGGAGCTCAGCCTCACAGGCCCAAAGGCAGACAGGAGCGGCAACCTTGTTGCAGCAAAACTGAGAAAGGCAGCATCGGTGGCCGCTCACCCTAACTGTTGCCACTACCCCCAAGACAACCCGACCATCAACTCTGTGATGGTTGCTGCCTTTTCACGGCCTGGAGCAGCAGCAAGCCTCCTTCTTCCATCAACGGGTAATAATCACTCTGTAATGATGGTTACAATCACCAACTGTCGCGATCACGACGAGAACGAACACGTCCCCAAAATGACAACCACCAGCTTAATGATGACGTCAGTAAGAATAATCTTGCTCAGCACGGCCTCCAAAGACAGATGATGCTACGTCAGCGCAAGCCCAAGTATCATAGTTACCTCCCGTACGATTTGAGGATGGACTCTCTGGTGTACAAAGTAATCAGGCACTTTCTTCAACCGGAAGCACATACGGCAACGCACGATAAAGCCTTGATATCAACCTTGATGGGTACAATGGTGATGGCTTACCATAGTGAAGCCACCATAACTAAGGCAAGCACTCCACCGGTCACGCCTGCGATCGACGGAAGGCAGGCCGCCCTTGCCAACGAATATCAYCAAACTCACAACTGAAAACTTCAAYGTGTGTACGACGGTAACYCGGCGAACACTATGATTACTAGGCTGGCTKCCACCATGGAGCACTSCCCAGWYAGACGYAGTCAGGATCGCTGCTAGCCATACAGGCTGAATCACGATTCGTTCTCACGAACCATGAGAATGAATCTCCTCCTTGAACACGGGGAGATACCTCACATTTTATACTTCAGAAGAAAAAAACTTTAGTCCTCGGCGCAGCTCTCAGTATTGATCCTGGCCTAATCACTGATCTATAGGCCATTCTAACACCGCCATCGCGTTCACAGCGCCCAAAAACCCCAATTTCAACCCTTCACTCGTCCCGTTTCATCAAGAAATGGACGAAATATCCYAATTTCCTCCTCGCTTGGCTTTTCCTCTCGCCTCAACCGCGCATTCCCTYTTTCTCCTAGYTCCTCCCTCACTCATCTAAACRCCGAGCCRACTCTGCCATTCAACTCGCYCATATGAAAAACCWCCACTTGGCTTCATTCCTCACCCGATTCCATTAAGAGTTGAGCAGGCTACTGATTTCTCCCTTCGCCATATCCACTTCCCACCTTCGTCACCTTCCCTCTCTCACCTCCACGTACCTGGACTGGATCCCGGCCAGGTCCGTGCACCCTTTTTCAAAAGTCCTGTTTCCTCTGTTTCTTGCATGCTGTAGATGAACTGCTTACGTTTTCAAGCGAGCGGAACTCCTAGGATGATGACGAAGAACAACAACTCGACGGAGATGGAGATCTACCACGTTGAGGAAGCACCACGTGAAGTGCAGATTTTGTGGCTACTGTCCTCCCACCAGCAAGCACATGACTATGACAAAGTGTTCACTTGCACTCGAGCGCCGTGCCCTATTCTGCCACCGATAGAGCTGCCCATCCCCAGCTATGGTCATCAGTAGTGCATGAGGGAGACGCCCTACATATACACTCATCAACATAGCGCAGCGGGAGTAACTTCCCCTCCACCAAATTCGCTGTGAGAAAGCAAGCGAAGTGAACCTCGACGTCATCGGCCTTCAGCCTTTTCTACTTAAGTCCTCACAGTAGTCCCCCTTATCTGTCCGTTCAGACAGCTAACATCTATAGCCAAACTTTCCTGATCTGCCTACATGCACCTAGATGGGAACGTATACAAAAAACAAAGAAGAAAAGAGAGAGAAAAAATAAAAATAAAAAAAAATAGACCTACGGGCCTACCCATCTCTCAGAAGAGCAGGAAGGGACAAAACAGCTAGGCTGAAGGCCCAGGACTGTCAAGTAGAGGCTATCTGGCTACGGTCTGAAGATCAGGCCTAGCAACCCCCCAAAAAAAAAACAAATTGCCGGTCACGGGATCAAGTCCCGCAAGGCCCAAATCAGGGAAACAGCCAACATAGTTGGGTATAGTCCCAGATCTGCGTGTCATTCTTGCGCAGGGGCAATGCTAACCTTCTATGTATCGTTCTAGTTTTAACAGATGTCCCGAAGGACTAACCCGTGGGCYCAGCAATGGATATTCSCACAGAAAGTGGCTGGCCCCAGGTACTTCACTGTCGCAACCTTTTACTCACTTGTTTTCAGCGGAGTCCGCAGTTCAACAGTTCAAGGTGTTCATGAGTGTGCCCATTGAGCTAGGCTCTTGGGTAGTATAACCAGGCCCGAAACCAATGCAGGGGCCGTACTAATTCCAATTTTGAGGGATGTCCCAATGGATACAAGCGGGGCTGAGCCCCGCGGCATACCCAACTGGAAACAGCGGAGCGGTTGGTAGTGTCCTGATCTGCATCCAGTGGAGTTCGAACAGGGGCCCATTTTTCAACAGTTCAATGGTGTACCCACTGAGCTAGACTGTTGGGTCTCACAGTCGGTCCACGGACCGGTACCGGGTCACTTCCCAAAATGGGACTTAAATAAGAAAAGAAATAAAAATAAAAATAATAATTAATATTTTTTTTTAGAAAAATTAGGAAAAATCAGAGTAGGGGGAGGGGAACCGTGGGGACTCGTCCCTCGGCCCCACCTTACGGGCCCGCGGTCGGAACTCCCTGCAAAACCAAGGGGGATAGTCCCTCGGTTTAACTCCGTAGCGCTCCTCCGCTCCTCTGTTGCTGCGTGCCGACCTCGATCCCAAGATCTCCAAGTTGAAAGTCCAATGCTGTAACCAATAGGGCTAAGCCCAAGTCTGGTTACAGCTGGCGTGAAATTGCATATCAATAGCACCTGCAGGCCGCCCGGGCCTGCCAAATTGCACCAAGGCCGCTGCTTGGCTTATTACTCGAGCCCAAGCCTTGCAATGTCACGCTTTCGCTGCTTGGGGCCGGCTCTTTGCTCGACACATCGCACATGCAGCCTGCGACGCCGCGGCCAACAGGTAAGCTCCCTCACACTACCTTCTTCCTTGGAAAGGCCGCTSTTTTACCRTCTCCAAGCCGRAAAAAAAAMCGGCCTTTACTCATGTCCTCTCTGCTAAATCTCATTGGCAATTCCGACGCCGTCAACCTTTGTGCCCTGCACACCCCACGCGGTGCGGCCTGCCGGCTTTTCAGTAAGTCAATGAGAATCCCCCTCTAGTCGTGGCTTCAACGATTAACTTCTGCGCTGGCCGCGACTGCGTCAGCGTGCCCGAGGTTGCGACCTACGCAAACTTTATCCAAGTTCTAACTTTTTCCCGGCCTACACTGCCGACCGGTTCGTTCGTTCACACTAGTCAAGCATCTAACTAACGCGCGCCCGCAAAGTGCGCGCCCACACACACACCCTCTGACTCATCCAAGCGTGCCCCCGCAACTTCCTGACTTCCAAGAGTCAGTCGTGGTCGAGCCTAAGGCACGTCACTCTCTCAAATATCATCAAGGGTGCCCCTCAAGAGAGGTGCAAAAAACACGCACAATTACCCTTGTAAGGGTAACGGTGCCGACAGTCTTTTCGGACCCTATTAAGCGACGTCCCCGTCGCGTCGGTCAACCCAAAAGCTATAAACAATTCAAATTACATCTGCTGATAAGGAATTTGACCAATCCGATTAGCCGACTTGACTCCGTTCGAGGCATTCCATCAATCTACCCCCGTCACGGTGTTCCACTGCGAGGGTTTCAACCTGGGTCTCCCATGTCCTGGCCTCGGACTCTGGGGATACTTTGTTCCGTACTACAGCATAATGCCCGCTCCCAGGTAGTAGCTTGATAGTTCTCTCCCTTTGCCTTAGACATCTGCCGGTTCACCGTTGGGTGTCCTGTTTAGTCATCGTCCTGCAAGAAGGGTCATAACTTAGGACGCGGGCCCTAACCGAGACCTCTCTCAAATATGGGGCACCTATAGTCCCCAAAATGGTAGTTAGTACCATCTCAAGTACCCACTCATAATGAACGTCCAACCTGGAGTCTAACACAGGCAGCTTCTAGGTCTCCATCCTGGCCCACCATAGTCTGGTTGATCGAGCCAGATCTACGGCCTACCGCGTTGTTATGTTAGCGGCAGTGCCCTCGTTGGTTGCGCAACGATAAGCAGTTTTATCTATCTTGGTACCCCGAAGGATCCTGACTCTTGACCTAATCGACCCCAATGACTTTCCCTCTAGCTAAACCTCTCTGGGTGGCCGACCCTTCAAGACTTAACCGTTAGTAAGTCATGGTCCCGCTGCCAGGTTGCGTCGGTCAGCGGCCCTCGCTGGGAGGTAGGTCCTACAGTTCCAGCGATGCTAAGTATAGCCCCTTAGCCTGGCCTCACAAAATATGTCCCTTAGACTGACTTCATTGTGGTCTGGCATTCTCTCTCAAAAACTTTCATCATAACCAAAGGATCACGTAGCAGCTGCCCACGGGACTACGTGGAGGGATAGTGTCTTTCTTAATGTTCCAACAAAACACTCAATAAACCCACAAGGTCGTGCCTCCCTTGCTTCGATCAGGGCAGGTGAGGTCACACGTCTTAGCGACATCTCTCAAATGTTTTCCAGAGCTCCATCATAATTGTCTGAAATTTTCATCCATTATCCTCATAAAAGTTTTGGTCTTTCCTCGTCAGACTTGCATTCACATAAATTTTTTCATCGTTATAACATCTCATTGGAGTGTCCTCTCATAATATCACTTTTATATAAGGAAAAACCCCAATCGACCATTGAGTTTCCTTCTCTTGTTTTTGAACCATACACAAAACACAACTTTAGTTGTGATCTTTCCATTTATCATTACTCATGCCTTTACAAATTATGACACAAGCTGTTTCTCTCAAACAGACGTGAGGTGCACTCTCTTTCCCTGTATTTATGACTTCGTCTGTTAATGTAACAGGTATGATTAAGTATAGAGGAAGATAGTGCATATCAGTGCATTTTACAACATTTACTTCGTCATAACAATCATTCATATGGGCAAGTCCACGAACTGAGAGTGAGTGTGACACACCACACAAAAAGAAAGAAGTCTGAGATTCGCATATGCACACAGAATCTGAGGCCTTGCAACAATCAAAGGCTCCCGTCCATATTGAAACGGTCAAGGTATCGTACAAAGAATTCAAGTATCACACAAAAAGTTTGGGTATCGTACCAAGTGTCACAGTATTCAACAAAGAATCAGAGTATCCGAATGAAGTATCAAAGTAAAAGTCAAAGAAACCAGGATCTCATACCGCTCTGGACGAGAAAGAATCATAAACTCACACAAAAACACTATCTAAGAACACGCCACACCACACTAAAAAAATATGAAAATAAAAATGATGAAATCAGTCGCACACACAATACCATCCTAGATACAACTAAGTCTGAAAGTCAATATGCGAAAGTAAACATCTCAATAATGACTCAACTAACTGATGTACATGGGCGTAATCCAATCCTCCATGTGTCCTCCTATATACAATCATCTATCAGTAGTGAGTCAGAGATGCTTTATACTTGTCAGAATCTAGACCTTTCCGGACCATATGAAAGAATCTTATCCCTGATCACTCATGTCCTCATGCAGCTGCCTATACAATTGCGCCCATATCCCATCACGAGTCTTTAGGATCAGGTTCCCATACTTATCCCTACGTACCCCAGAAGGATCCCAAGAAAACAAACCATTCGCCTCATCCTTGAGGCTTTTGGGACAGGTCTCCTGTGGGTGCTTGCCCCTTTTGCAGTAGAAACATCTTTCAAACTTCTTCTGCTCCATCTTGTCCGCTCCTTGGGAGGGCACAAATGAGGGGACTGCTGTAGCCTCGCTCGTGACCTCCTGTTGTGGATGCTCTGGAGGAATGGGGCATGCTGCTCTGTCATCTGTCTGCGCCACCTGCTCACTTACTCGCTCCTCTGCCCCGGATCCAGTGGCCCAACATCCCAGCGCCTCCTCCAGACCTGCAACCAGAGGCATATCCTGAGGTGGTGGGGTTTTATGAGAAACCTCCAGATCCTCCCCTACCTCAGCCTCAACCCTCGCCTGTCCCACACTCTCCTGAGCCTCCTGCTGCCCCACAGTTTCTCTCTGAATCATAGGTGGTGTAGCCTCATCCATGTTGACCTCTGTTGGTGGCCTCACCCCTGGCCTCACTGGTCCTTGCTCATGTGCCAAGACGGTGGGCATCCTCCACTCAAACTCTCCTGCCTCTAAGTCCCTTCCTGCTAGTGTCTCTTGTGGCTCCAACATCTTCTTATCCAGCAGAGGGATTTCCTCACCCCTTTGCTCGTTTGCCCTCTCTTCCACCTTCTGACTCTTCAAGGCCTCCTCTGCAGGCTGCTTCCTGATTTCAAACCCCTGGACCTCGGTCCAGTCCACCACTGCAGTAGGCGCCTGTTGTGCACATTTGGCCTCAAGATCCTCTATCCTCTTCTCCCACTTGGCTTCCTTTGCGTGAAAGATATTCTGTTGTACCTGCAAGTAGGTCCTCAGGGTGTCGTTGACTTTGTTGAGGGTCTGGTTGACCTGCCTGATGGCCACGTTGCCTGCCCAGGCCTTCTCCATCTCAGTCTTCATGGCTTTCATCTCCTTGTCCTGCCTCTCCAACTCCTTCTTGAGATCACCAATTTCTTTCTGCCAGTCCATTCTCTGCTCATGAGACGCTCGCGCCACCCTTGTCAACCTCTTCTCCATCTTTTCATCAGAAGTCTTGGCCACCGCAAAGCCCTCCTTCATAAGGTCATTCAGGCTAAGCAAGTCTGTAGAGACCAGCTTAACCCCCATCTCTTGATGCTGCTCCCTGGGCCTCCCTGCTGCCTCCAACAACTTATCAAAGTTGTCCCAAGCCTCCGTGAAAAGAGGAGTCTCATCGTCGTGAGTGGGTGAGTCATTCCTCTTTCTGTCTTCTAGTATCACAGGCTGCTCTCCCTGCTCAACCTTCTCGTGCAGCTCCGCAATGTTCTTGAGTCTGATTTGGACTCTGATCTCTCTCTCTATTGCCGCTCTCTCCTTTCTGTCTTGTTCTTTCTCCCTTGCAACCTGTTCCTCACTCTGCTCCTGTCCATGTGGCTCTTGAGGTAGTTCTGGCCCTTTGTCTGCCATAGGGCAGTCCTGAGCAGGCTGAGGGGGCGCATCTGATCCACTTGATGGTCCTCCCCTCTGGGTCCTTTCTGCACCCTGCCTCTCTGTCTGCTGTGTCCAGTCAGCATGTTGTTCCTCTCTTCCTTGAACGCTCTCAGCATGCTGCTCCTCTCCTCTCTCCTGCCCGTGGGGCATGTGCTCTCTCCACTGTCCATCCCTCTGAGTGCCTGAGGTCATGCCCAGCTCAAAAGTCCTCCTCTCTGTGACCTCTGGCTCCTTCCTATTTTTCTCCATACTCCTTCTCTCCTCTGCCAGGCGTGTGGGAGTATAGTAGCTCCTCAGTAACCGTTTGCAATCTCCCCAATGCAACGCTCTTTCCACAATGCTCTTGACGAACATTCTGATAGGCCTCCTCACGAACTGGAGGAACCCTCTCACTCTGGTCTCAGGTGCAATGTTCTGCTCGTCCGCAAACCGGTCATAAGCCCACAAAAACTCATCCAGGTTTGTTCCATCGAACCGGATTGGCACTCCATCTCTCCCCACAGACGATGGATGTATCCCTTTCATCTTCCTTTCGAACTCATGTCAGGTCGCTGACTCTCGTACATATCTGGCAATGGCCTCAGCCCACTCGCCCTCTCCTCGTACCTCTCTCAGCATCCTGGCTTCATCCCATCTGAACTTGTTGGCATGCTTCTCGAACTCGACCAAAAACAACTCCACGTTCTCTCCTCTGAAGATGGGTGGTCTGTCCTCTCTCCTGGTTTATCCCTGCATTCTCTGTCTGGTTGCCCCCTGAGGGGGTTCCACTGGCCCTGCCCCTCCCTTCCCTCTAGGCATGGCTTCGCCAAATGGTGTCAAGCCTGCACAACAAGGAAGAGACAAGTCAAAGCACACAGAGTGTAAGCAGGTTCGGCACACAGTGAGAGACAGACACATCCCCCCCCATCTAACCTAGATGCCTATAGAGGCATACACATACATACGTACTATCATAACCCATCATATCATTCTAATGAACGTCCATACAATCTTTCTGTACTGATACCCCCATCAGAAAAACATACTTAACAAGATAAAGGGACTCTAGCTTGTGAGGTCCAGACTCACCTCGTCTCGAGCGACAAACTTCTTCAACCTCGAGCCTGACACCCATTCCTTCCAAGCGGTCCCATTCAGCTCCTCAATTTGGTATGCGCCATGTTCTCCACACCTGGCGACCCTGTATGGTCACAACCATCTCTTATCCAATTTCCTTGATCACTGCTTCTCCAGGGACGAGTCGTACAACAACACAGCGTCTCCCACCTTAAGAGGTTCCTTCCTTACTCGTGCCAACTGGTCCCACCTGAACTTGTCCTTGGTTCGACTGTCAGCCACCCTACTTGCCACTTCCTGTACCTTATCTTCTATGGCTCCAATTTGATGTGCCCTTAGATCAAGCAAGTCCTCAAAAGGCAAGGTTGTGTCGAGGTCTTGTCGTCTCCAAGTCTTTAGGAAACTTTTTATATGGAACGTCGCATGTCTGCCATACCATAATGTAGCTGGCGCGTAGTTGGTACTCCTTCTGACAGTGATATTCTCCACGAAGAAAGCAACCCTCAGGAAAGCTGGCCACTGATTAGGTCTGTCATCTGTCAATTTTGCGAGAAGATTTGTAATGGTATTGTGCCCTCTTTCTACTGGTGCGTTAGCCTGAGGGTGCGCCGCAGTCGTATACTCGGCGATCACACCATACCCTTTCAATAACGCTTTCACTTCGGCACAGGTGAATTCGGACCCTCTGTCCATTACGAATCTTGAGGCGAAAGGATAACGAAGCTAGTATTCTTCGATGCATCTAGCTAGTACCTCTCGAGTCTTCGTGCGAATAACCTTACCATCAACGAACCCTGAGAGATTGTCTCGTGCATCGAAGATATAGTTGAACCCTCATATTCCCAGAGGCATCGCTAGTAGATCCAGATGAACGACCGCTCCGACCTCACGTATATATCTAGGGTTAAGCGGTTCCCTAGGTCTTAGCGAAGACCGCTCCTGGCATGGTATGCAAGATTTACAATATTTGTCGATCATGTGTCCCATGCCATCCCAATAATATAGTTCGTGAATCTTTAAGTATGTTGCATCTGTGCTCCTATGGCCACCAACCGTTCCATCATGAAGGGCGTCCATAACGTCAATCTGTCGATTTATTCCGCAGACTACCCTTCTGGGATTCTTTCCTTTACTTCTCATGAATAGATGGTCGTCTCTCACTAGGAAATTCGGTCGCATCTTAAGGACTCTTTTGCTAGCATCTCTTTCTCTTGTTTCACATGACAGGAGCATTCCCAATTCCAGATATGCTCCGTCGTACTCCTCTGCACGAAAGGTCTCTTTTATCTCACCTTCTTCAAAATCACCGTCCTCTCCTTCATGGATCACGTTCTCCTCTCTATCTTGCCTCTCTCCTTCAATCCTAGCAACCTCTTCTTGAAACAACGAGTTTGCCAACAGGTACATTCCACCTACCAATCGTTCATGTTTTTCTACCTGCTGGGGTCCGGTCTCCAATGTGAGCAAGTCTTCCCGCAGCTGGTGCTTATCTGCCAAGGCCAACTCCATCATCCACTCCACTCCTGGCGTTCCCCAAGAATCTTCCTCAACATAAGGTTTGAGGACTATATCAGGCCACCGCACATGACCTAGAGGTGCGAGCCATATAGGTCGTCTAGGAGTAACATAGTTACCTATAGCCAATGACCAGGAGTTAATGTGGAGTTTAACATCCTCTTCCTTGTCCAGGAAACCGTCGACTGGCGGAGTATCCTCAATCACCCCTTTGTTGCTCTTGTCCCAGTCGACGCGACTCAACTCATCTGCCCTATTCTTGTTCCCAGGAATACGCTCCAATTCGAAGTCAAACATCCAGATGTACGTCAACCACCTGGCAATGGTTGGATCTGAAGGAGCGAAGTTCCTAAGGGAACCAGCTAGAGCAGTTGGGTCCACCCTCAACGTAAATCTGCTACCAAAGAGGTAGTTTCTGAATATCCTCAAGCAGTGAAGAACTGCCAAGGTCTCGCGCTTAAACTGAGAGTAATTCCTGTCAGTTGTGTTAAGTGTTCGACTCTCAAACCTTAGCGGTCGCTCTTCTCCATTGAGGTCTCGTTGGATCAGCACCTCTCCTAGTGCAGTCGGTCCTGCGTCAGTTTTCAACTTTTCACAATAAAGGGTCTGGTCATTACAGCCGCATGGTCTGGTACCCCCAGTACTAGACCCCCTTCCTCAAATTCTTTCTTCAGACCCTCTATTACTGACTCCTGCTTGTCTTCCCATTACCAATCCTGACCTTGGCGCACAAGCTTTCGCAACTGCTCTGTCTTTGCCGCAAACCCTTTGATGAACACTCTCCAAAACCCACATGTTCCCAGGAAGCTCCTTACCTCTGTAATTGTCTCGAATGGTGTTGGTCATTCGAGAATCTTGTTCGTTTTCTTAGTGTCTGGCCGACGACCCCTCTCGTCGCACACAAACCCTAAGATCGTTGCTCCACGCATACAATGCATGGACTTTGTTCCGCTTGCAGTGAGGTTATGCTCCTTTAGCAAGTCTAGGACTTTACAAAGATCTTGCACATGATCCCAGACAAATCGCCTAATCTCAGGCATCACCTCTTGCTCATCCTTCTCTTTTGGCCCTTTCACAGTCAGATCATCGATGTAAGGTTGTGTAATGTGAGGACTTACTGGTTGCATTGCCCTCACCATGTGTCTCTGGACCATGGCAACCGCGTTCGTCCACCCTTGCGGTGCGACATTCATGTGAATCAGCCCTCGAGGGGTATGCATCGCAGTCATTGGTCTGTCCGAAGGGTAAACAGGAAACTGGTCATAACCAGAATACAAGTCTATGAGAGATATTATGGATCTTTCTGTGCATGCCTCTGAAAGTGCATCAGCGTTAGGGAGACCCCCTGGATCTCTCACTGTTACAGCATTCAATTGCTGCAAATCCTGTACCCATCTCAGTGTCCCATTTGGTTTGACAAAGCAAAACCAAGGGGATGCATATGGTCCACTCGAGTAGTCTGAGACATGAGTGCAGATCTTCCCGTCAAGATAATTTACCACCTTTTCTCCGTCAGCCGGATTCGGGTATCGCGCACCTCGCAGATTTCATGGTTCGTGTGGCACGGTATGTATCCGAATCATCGGAATCTTGTCAACATCCAGGCGGCCACATTCGTCATCATTGAAGGCATAGGCAGTATGCCTTCCTCTCATGGTCTCTACCATCAACTGCCTCTCCTGCGCTGTAAGGAAATCTGGTTCCCCTATTATCAGTGCCTCTTCAGTTTCTTGATCGATACGACATGGTTCATTCTCCGCATTTTCCCGCATCTGTCGTATCAACTCTCGTTCCCACTCGTAATAAACTTCTTGTTCCTCGGTCACGAGCACAGGAACAGGGCGGCATTTTTTATCTACTCTTTTGTACCGCCTTTGTGACCCTTGTTTGCGTCCATCCCTAAAAAAGGCGGAGTTGTACTCAGGGGTTGGGCTCCTGCCGATCCTCCTATCTTTCTGGGCGTTCGATATACCAACTCCACTTCTCCTTCACCCATCTGTTCCATCACCTTTTCTCTCAAGGCCTCTACGGCCTCCGGGTCCGCCATCCCATAGGTTGACACAATGTCCATAGCATCGCCTATATTGGTCAGGCTAAGAGTCAGTGCTTCCGGGGTTCCTTTCTTTTTCAAACTCATCTCCCCCTAGCCTCTTCCTTTCTTCTTCCGATTCCTCAATCGTGAAAGAACCAGGATTGGGCTTATTCCTTATACTTCGTGGTCCCGTATTTCTACATGTAATAACCTCATAGTTGCCACATACCGGGTCACATAAGACAAGGAACATCGTCCCATCATGCTTATTCAGTATGACGGTCTCCGTTCGGCTCATGAAAGATCGGCCCAATAGGATGGGATGATCGAGATCGGGCATTACAAAGAAACAACTTCTCACTTTAACCTTGCCAATCTCCAAAACCACTCTCGATGCGGTCCCTATGAACACAGACCGACTATTTGCTCCTATTAAAACTCCATTATCGGAGCGATCAACCTCCATCCCCAAGCGCAAAGCATGCTCCTTTTTTATGAGGTTCATTTCCGTCCCAGTATCCACCATTGTCGTGCACGTTTTTCCTTTTACTACTACGTCCAAGCATCCACAGGCGACGGACTTCCAATCCATCTTCGTGCCTGTCTCTGCCCATTCCGCTTCCTTGGGGATTATGGCCCCCAATCGCACGCTGGCTACCATCTTCCTGGATAATCGAGCTTTGAGCTCGTCCCGGAGCCTTGGAGCTGAAGCCAGCACATCCTTCAGGTTCATAAGATGATTATGACCCTCAAGGATTTTATCCATTATTTCCTCCACGTCATAGCCTTCTTCTACCCGGACAACATACTTCCTTTTCTTCACCTCTGGAGCTTTGTCCGTGTCTGCCTTAACATCCCTCTTTTTTGCTCTTAGCTCGGCCCTCTTATCCTCTTCTCTCCTTAACCTCTCATCTCTCTCATCCTCACCTGGGCTTACCAGCCCCTTGGCCCTTGTCCTGACGGCCTGTGGCGCTCCTCCTGACCTTGATGGTGGCCTGTAAGCCATTCCGGACCGAGGCGTTGGTCCCGAAATTGTTACGCCTGGTAGGCTCCCAGATCCTCCTTGTGGTGCTGGACCCATATCGTAGAGATATACCAGTGGCTTTTTACCTTTCCACTCCTTGACCTCTTCACACATGTTGGTCAATTTGTCTTGATACCTTCTCATCTTTGCCACTAGATCCTCCATTCTTTCCATCGTTCTTCGGGCCTCATTCCAGTAACCCCTTTCTATTTCCTCATCAGATTCTACCACAATTGGTTCTTCCTTGACCGTACCGGTTTTCCTTTTCTGCTCTACTTCCTCATTCTCTCCTATCTCTTCAACCCTTATATTAGGACGGACCTCCTCCTCTTGCCAGATTCGAAACATGGCCGGAGGAGCGGGCAGCTCGCCAGCCTCGACTCGTCTCAAGGCCTCCTTTCTCGACCCACCAGGGATCTCTGGGTCAATGTAGTATCCAAACTTATCATACATGTCAGCGTCGTAGTTGGTACTAATCAACCCTTCATCTTCATCGTTCCTTCGGACATGGCAGAACTTGATGGTGTGACCCTTCTGCCCACAATGCCAGCAAATGGCATTCCTCCAGTCTATCCGTCCTCTACCAAAACCTCGCCCGCCGTCCTGACTACTCTGATTCCTTGACGCATCCCAATCCCCATTTCCTCCTCCACTGGAATTGCCACCCCCATTTCCTCTTCCACTGGAATTGCCACCCCCATTTCCTCTTCCATTTCCCCCGCGGCCGCCATTTCCTTGCCCTCGGCCCCATCCCTGGTTCTGTCGACGTCCGCCGCCTTGATTTCCCTGCGACCCCTGTGGTGTCGGTTGTTGAGGTTGGCTTGGCTGGGGGCTCGAGTGGCTTACTTGTTGAGTTTGGGGTCCTGGACACCCGCAGGAAGCCGCGCTCAGCGGCGCTCCCGCGCATGATCCATGTGGTTCACTCATTGGCCATGGTACGTATGAACAATGCCCAGGCCAAGGACTTGGAGGTCCATAACCCGGCCACGGTCCATAGGGTGCTGGCGTGGCCTGACCATGCGACTCCGGAGGGGGCAGTGCTGTTGCTTGCGGGGTCTGTCCTCTTCCTGAGCCTTGTCCGCCTTGGGCCAGATTTTTGGCCTTCCTCTGTGCCTTTGTTAGCTTTTGAGGCTCAGGCTCCTCCTTTTCCTCTTCTTCCTCCTCTTGCACCACCGCCTTCTTTGCTTTTCCCTGAGTCTGCGATGCCGCCATAGCCTTTCTTGCTGCCTTTCCCTCTTTTTCCGCATCGAGTTGGCCAACAGCATCCTCTATCATTCTCTTAAAGTCTCTCCCGTCACTTGTCGTGGCATCCAAAGCCTTCCTCTTCTTCCTAGCCTGCCTCATCTGAAAGAAAAGATGTCTACCTGGTCCAATTCTCCCTCTTTCACACCCTCTTTTATGGCAGTCCAAGTCAGTTTCTTTCCCGGCGCAACCTTCTTGGTTAGCGACGAGGCTTCCCAATTCTTGAAGTGCCCGAGGAAAGTGACACATTGTTCTTCTTCTGTTCTTCTTCTGCCAACCCTGGGACTTTCTTTGCCATTTTCTCAAATGCCGTGGCAAAGGCCCCCACTGTGGAGAACTCGTCTCGTTGTAACATCTCCAAGTCTATCTTCGTTAACAAGCCATCCCCTAACTTGAACCGCCTCTGCATTTCTGCCTTGAACTTAGCCCAGCCTCCTCCTGCTCCAGCAGCCACCTTCATTACCTCGGGCCGGGTTTCCCACCAGATGTATCGAGGTAGAAACTTGAACTTGTCTTCTTCGGGTACCTCGGCGGTAACTTGTTCCAGTAGCTCCAGCCACTCAGATACTCTGTCCCCTTTAAAATGAAAGATGTCGATTTTCGGCACCTGAAGTCGTGCCAATTCCCCTTTTTCAAGGGCCTTGACAAAGTCTGTCGGCGTAGCGGCCGGGCCCCGCTCGATTCCATCCGCGTCCGGCATTTTTATCCCCTTTGCAAAACAACCTGCTAGGAAAAAAAATAACCCATCGGATAGCTTTCGTCAAGTTCCAGAGGACTTACCCTAAGTCCTACCTAGTCATTCCACCCCTAGGTCCGGCCAACCACTCTAATATTAGTTATTTGAAACCTCAGATACAACCTTGGCCATACTTCTAATCACTTAGTCTCATTATTATCTCGTACACAATTCTCTCACGTAAGACAACCCAAACCATAAACTTTTGTCGTTTTGCCTAGATCATCAACCTGCACTTAACCTGGGTTTGTTCTCTTAAGGACCCCGGTAGGCAGCCGAGATCCCCGGCAACGGCGCCACCTGTCGAGCGCATCGGTCCCGCACGGGGACCCTCCCGGCCGCGTCACGCAGGATTATGCAGGATTTATCGCGGAGAGCGTTTGCCGCTCCGGCCGAGTGCGCCATCCGTACCTCTCGCGAGCCCCTACGACAGGACAAAGTCACGCGAGGCACCGCTTACCTCCACCTGCGGGAGCTGTCACCATCCCTTAGGTGGGCATATCCCCTCCGAGCTACTGAACCACATGCGAAAGTTTTTCGTATGCAATTGCAGAGGTGGCTCAGCCGAGGGCGTTTCTCGTTCGTTGTAGCATAGGGGGTTACGCGCGGTCGAACGCCCAAGAAATCGAACCCGCACGTGAATCGACGTTCTAGGGGGCTGAGGTCCCAAACGCGACTCGGCGCCGGTCAACTAGGACGCATCACGCACACTACGCGTGCACCACAACACTCACATGTACCCACACATAACACATGGAGATACACAAAACAGACCTCATGAACGACGCCACCACACCACAATACTCCTAGTCCCTTCAGTATCAGACCCATAACTTCATGCCGCGAGAATCAGGTAGGTTCCGCGCGCTGGACTTTTGTATAAGAGTCGTGCGCGCGCATGACCTCCTCATATCGGCCAGCTATGCGGGCATTCGCAAGCGTTCGCGCTAATGGGGTACTATGTGGTACTCGTAGCCTCGCGGCCCTTGATAATCTCGAGGGTCGCGTTCGACACTCAAGTGTCGGCTGACAGGCGCTTTGAGGGGTAATCTCTCGACGCCAGACAACCGCCATGTGCGGTTGAAGACCACACCCTCTTTTGCACCTTGTGCAGAGGGGTTGAGTAGACAGCTTTAGGGCTGTCGTGGTAGCCAAAATCAAGGGGTTTGACTTTGACGGCTACCACGAACTACAACGTCCAACCACGAAGACTTTAAGGAGGAAACAACTGCAGATAGTCTGATAGTCGTCCCAACTGGAAGGGGTAGGCCAACGCGAAGGGGTGCGCACGACTAAGGTCCAAAATCAGTCTCATAGGCCGCCCGACGTTCGAGATGTTGGAGACTCGTACGCGAGGCCCCATAGGCCGATTAGGGATGGTTCCCTGCCTACGAGCCGCTTCGCGTGACCAAAGCTCGGGCGTACTGGCCATAACGTGCTTTTGCTTTCTCCGCATGACCCATAACTTTAAAGCGCGGAAATCGGTAAGTGTTGCGCGTATGGTTTAGTATAAAGCCGTGCGGACGCAGAACCTACACATGCCGACCAACAATGTGGATTTGCGCACGCAGTCGTGATGTCGGCGCACTATGTGATGCCCATACACGAGTGGCCTCTTTTGAGCCATGGGGTCGCTATCGATGCTCAGACATTAGCTGAAGCGCACGCTAAGGGAGTAAACCTTTAGCAAGCGCAGAACCGGTCTCAGGGCCTTACCATCTTCTGCACCCTGAGGTACCCCAAAGGGTGCGGGGTAAGATGGTCCATCGGGCAGGAAGGAATTCGGAGCGGTGGTGAGTTGTCTGGCGCATCACCAGCGATACGCTAATCCTTCTGCCCGAAACTTTGTCGTTCCACCAAAATAACCTTAACAAGGATGAGAAACAAATGCTCTTAACACTATCGGAAGAAAATACCTTTAATGTTAGTCTGGGGCCTGGGACGTCCCGGACAAGGATCTTGGTTTCCAGGCTTGGGGCAACTGCCCTACCACACGAAGTCAAAGAGAATAGGACGTAAGCGTGCGGTCGCATAGCCCCATAAGGGTTACCCGAGCATATGCTTACTCTGATTATCACATCATTGGGCTAGAAAAGAACAATCTCACCCAAACAACAGGTTGTGGGGTATTACACTCTCACGACAGTTGTGTGGTTTGTCCATTTGAATTCAAAACATAATCACTCAATCATGAGTCAAATGAGACTCTTGCATACATACCTGCAATCATATACACAACATTCAAAGAACATCACACGCGCTGAAGGGGTCAACTTTTTAGCCTCCTGCGGCTCACACCCTACCTTATGCACTCAAGCCCAACCATTTCCCCATCAATCCTTAACAAAGGTACTCAGTCTTTCAGAAATGGTCATTTATAAAGAAGTTGGGTGAAAACCCAAAGAAACACGCAAATCCTGGCAAGGGCTAAGGCCTTAGGTTGAGAGGCAGGAGAAATAGGAAAGTTGAGTCGTAAACCAACGAATCGGCAACCGACATGTTATCAGTGATAACAGACAAGTAATCCCTTCGTAGAATCAGGCCGAACAATTCGAGACTTCAATCGGATGTGAAAACCTGCATCACATTATAGGTCAAAGAGAACCACTACTATGTTCAACCCAAGTAGAGGATAGTTCCCCAATTTGTACCCTAGCTCCTCTATCAGTCTCACGTTCAGCTTCCCTCACTAACACCAAGTCACTTATAAAATTTGGCAGCATCTCCCCTATCCAGGGTGGATTTGTCAAGTTTCTCTTAGCTAATAATAATCTAACTCTCTAAATTCTGTGAAATTTCGGCAGCGCTTCCCGTAGGAAAAGTGCCTTTCCAGAATTTCTACGAGTCCAAAAAATGACTAACTTTTTCAAATTTGTAGCAATTTCGGCAGCGCTTCTCGTAGGAACAGGAGGTTGCCAAGATTTATATAAAGTTGAAACTAAAAAGACAAGGCATAACTATACTTGGGACTAACTTCTGACACTTACTTGGAAGGTAGGATCGGCGATAATATGTACGACCTCTTAATGAGGCTGTGCGATGACACTGATCCTAACTCCTAGTAGAGCCAATCCTATCTTATCCCAAGCTTTCCCTCCCATTATCCATCCTACCTATCTATAGCTCTAGCACTCGGCGAGCACCTAAAGCAACTAAACTATCAAAGAGATGCCCCAGAGTGAGAGCCCACAAGCATGCATAACCAAACATCTCTCACAATCCCATATTAATTTAGTCCAAGTAGTTCGTTAAATCGCTCAATTCCTTCCCTTTTACATCCCCCTTTCCTATGGCATATGGTCAGACAAGGCCCTAACCCTAGGGTATGCCTAACCTGCCTAGGTACACAAGTAAAGTACGCACATTTGGACTGCCCTAACCCTAGGGTATGCCCAACATAACATGAACTGTACACATAAGGCATATGACCAGACCGCCCTAACCCTAGGGTACGTCTGGCTTCTACCTAACTGACGACAAAGAGCATAGAATTGGGCTGCCCTAACCCTAGGGTATGCCCAATGTGCTTTAAGCAAAGTTACATACGGCATCATTCTAGACCATCCCTACCCAGGGGTAGGTTTAGCTTGCCTGAACATAAGTACAAACGACAAAAAGTTGGACCGCCCTAACCCTAGGGTACGTCCAACCCACAACACATCTACGACAAAAGCATATCATTAGGCCGTCATAACCCTAGGGTACGCCTAGCTAGCCATACAGTTTAAGTTACATAAGGCAATGTGATCAGGCTGCCTTAACCCTAGGGTGTGTCTGATATGCCTGAACAGTTATAAACACCGAAACGCTGGACCGCCCTAACCCGAAGGTACGTCCAACTCACTTTAAACGACAAAAGTTTATCACTAGGCCACCCTAACCCTAGGGTTAGGCCTAGTTAGCCATACAACATAAAATAGGGTACAAATATTTTCACAGACTTTATATTTTTCCTTCTCTTATTAAGCAGTCGATCGGACCTTTCCAATAAATGGAACTTTGGATCCTGCCTCATGTCAAGAAGGGAAAATAAAACAGATTTATACTAACTCCTTGCTCCTTAGTGTTATCATGAGCATATAACTGAACCGCCCTAACCCTAGGGTACGTTCAGTCTGCCCAATTACCTTTGTTTTACTCTTCATCTCTTCCTCTCTTCCTTAGTTCTACCTGACTTACTGACTAGCTTTCCCCACCCGGGGTGCCCGTCTGTCAGAAGTATAAGTTCAATAAAATATATATATCAAAATTTATACTTTTGGTTGGCCAGTTAATTCGTGGCTCATGGCTAAGCCACCCTAACCCTAGGGTACGCTTAGTCTTATGTCGTTATTCCCTCAGAAAAAAACATGCACCATAACTCATTAAAAGAAGCATCAGGACTCTGGGCCTTCCCCACCCGGGGTGCCCAGCCTCCTGTTCAGAAACCCTCAAATAAAACAGCGACTGATCATATCCCACCCGGGTAGACCAGCCATAAGAGTCACTCATTCAGATCAGCAAACCTCAATAAAACACAGCACTGAGCCCACATCCACCCGGAGGGGCTCAACCTTGGGTTGACCCGGTCAAACGCATGCATAACACCTTCCTCCCGCCTTCCCCCAGTTTAATTTTATCTGAATTCACTCAGAAGATCTGCCCTCTCACATATACTTGTTGATTTACTTTTCAAAATGCATGTCCTGACATACATAACAAAATAGAAAAGTAATATCCTCACATAATCCTATTCAGATAGCCCAAGAATAAAAGTTTAGGGGAAGGGATCACACAGGTTAACGAGAATATACCTGAATTTCCCTGCCTCCAGAACCCCGCTTGGGCTCCGGCCGAGCTCCCGCAATCGGTGGGTGGACCTCCCACAAAGGCCTTGGCGCGGGTTACGGGTTGCAATCCCACCTGCCGCCTTCCTCTCGTAACCAAAGGACCAAACTTAGATTGAAAAGGGCAGCAAAAGAGAATTCAGACTCTCAGATACAAGAGGGGTGCGCTCAGACTCGCAGGAGAGGGCCTTGAAATCTTCAGCGCCTGAGGGCCCCGCAATGATGGCCAAGGAACGCAACCAGCAGACTCCTGATGAGCCTCCAACCTCAGTAATGAGCCCCCTTGCAACCCCCAG